TGTGTGTGTGTGTGTGTGTGTGGTGTGCACCACGGGAGTAAACTGGTGAGTGTCCCCACGTGAATGTAATGATGGGTACAATATCATGTCAGAACACTGATGTGTACGATAATAAATTATACGTCACAGGGATACTTGGTTCTAACAAAATAAAATCTACAACAGATAGGGAATAAATCCTACTTTACGATGAAACCACGCCTCTGGGCTATGTACATTCCAAACATTATCAAAATCCATCGGTAATCTTCGGAGGCTATGTATGTCCCAAACATTAGCGAAATCAATCGGCAAATCTTCGGAGGCTATGTATATGCCAAATATTAGTAAAATCCATCGGTATTCTTCTGAGGAGTAGAAGGCAATTTGGTCAGTATGATGTGAACAGAAATACTGTTTCAGTCGTCTATACTACATGGTGAGGGAGTAAAAGAACAGCACTCGGCAATGAACAGACTTTTGTTGTTTCTTTTTGTTGTTTTTTTGTTTTCTTTCAAGGTAAGTGTTTTGCGGTGCTAACAACTGCATACGATTATATGAGTGCACAGGACACATTAAACATTTTCAATTGGTAGAATATTTTGAATTTTGCCCGGGTGGCGGCCGAAGTCTACTCTTATCGTTTTAGAACCACCAAGGGATCTTGAACGTGCGCAACGTGCACGAGGACCCTCCGAGATTTCCCCCCTTCATCCGAGAAAGCTAGGTGTAGATCTTATCTACCTTAAGGTCAGGGGTGTGGTTGAAAGACAGTAGTAAGAAGGGTCCAAGGAGTGGCAGTAGAAAGGCTGCAGAAATAATCAGGAGCCCAGAGGAGGAGGAAAAAGAGGTGAAGGGGTGGAGGCCGAAAGTGGAGACGAAAGCAGACGATGAACATTGTTAGAGAGCAGGAAAGGATGTGAAAGGAGAAAATTTTAGAGATGAAAATTTCCATTTGCTTTCCGGATTCGAGGCCGGGACCTATTGAATGAGAGGAGAACGCTGTAACCTCTCGATCAAGAGAGCCCCCCTCCCCCTCCCCCATAGGCTTTTTGATGTCACAAAACAATATTTGACTGTCAAAACCACCGCTAGTTTTTATGGGGGTTTTAATAGTTGTTTCATAATGTTACGAGCGAGACAACACTCATTTTAAAAAAAAGTATATTCAAAGGTTCATAGTGCTCTTCTCATGACATTGAATCTTCTGTACAATTTGTTCCTCTGAGAGAGGGCATCATTTTTTTCTTCTTAACTTTCTGCTCACTTTGAGATTTGTTTATCTGCCCGTTGGAGTTGAGAAAGTCTTTCACTTAGATTTAAATGTCTTCGACTCTAGTTCTGAGAAAGCAATTACTTTTAAACGTCTCTAATTCCGGGACTTAATTTCTTTTCTAATTTTTTTAAAAACAATGACATTAAAAAACAACAACTTTACTGCAATACTATGATGACTTTTTGAAAACTTCAGTGCAAGATGAAGACCTTCGTTGTTTCAACGGCTTTCTCATCTCCTCC